AGGAAATCTAGGTATAATCTTCGCAAAGCCATCAGGGTCGCCAAGAGACAATACCAAACTAAACTAGAGTCCCAGACTAAATACAAGAACACACGTTGGCTGTGACAAGGATTATACAATATAACGGGCTATACAGCGAAGTTGAGTACAATCGCTGACAACAACGCATCCCTCCCTGATGAGCTCAAAGCATTCTATGTTCATTTTGAACAGAAGATCAGTGAAATGATGCCACCTGCCCCGACAGCCTTGGGTGCACCTGTGCCCACAGTCACTGTCGCAGATATCAGATCAGCCTTCTTGAGGGTGAACTCACTGAAAGCAACCGACCTGGATGGAGTCTCTGGACCAGCTGGTGGGAGTATTTGCAGACATCTTTATACCTCTCCTTACTCTGACGTGTGGTTGCCACCTGCTTCAAGAAGATCACTATCATCTGGGTGCCAAAGAAAAATCAGGCAATGTGCCTTAATGACCACCACCCCATGATTCATTATGAAGTGCTTCGAGACATTAGTAATGGCACACATCAACTCCAGCCTCCCAGACTGCCTTGATCCACCACAATTTGCCTACCCTCACAAGAGGTCCACAGCAGATGCCATCTCCCTGGCCCTACACTCATCCCTGGTACATCTGGATAACCTACATCAGACTCCTTTTCCTTGACTTTAGTTCTGCCTTCAACACCATAATTCCAACAAAACTCATCTCCAAAGTCTGAGACCTAGGTTCCTGCTCCCCACTCTGCAACTGGATCCTTAACTTCCTGACCCATAGACCGCAATCAGTAAGGATAAGCACAACACCTCCTCCACAGTAATCCTCAACACCAGTGCCCCACAAGGCTGCATACTCAGCCCCTTACTATACTCTGTATACACTCATGACTGTGTAGCCAAATTCAGCTCTAACTCCATTTACAAATTTGCTGATGACACCACTGTAGCGGGCTGGATCTCAAATAACAAGGAGACAGAGTACAGAAGGAGATAGGCAGCTTAGTGGAATGGCGTAAAGAGAAAAATCTCTCCCTCAATGTCAGCAAAACAAAGGAGCTGGTCATTGATTTCAGGAAGCAGAGTGGAGGACACATCTCTGTCTGCATCAATGGTGCTGAGGTGGAGGTGGTCGACAGCTTCAAGTTCCTAGGAGTAAGTATCACCAACGATCTATCCTGGTCCAGCCACATTGATGTTACAGTCAAGAAAGCACAGCAACGCCTCTACTTCCTCAGAAGGCTGCGGAAATTCAGCATGTCCACAATGACTCTTATCAATTTTTACTGATGCACCATAGAAAGCATACTATCCGGATGCATCACAGCTTGGTATGACAACTGTTCTGCCCAAGACCGCAAGAAATTACAGAGAGTCATGAACACAGCCCAGTCCATCACTCGAACCATCCATTGACTCCATCTATATCTTCCGCTGCCTTGGGAAAGCAGCCAACATCATCAAGGGCCCCTGCCACCCCAGTTATACTCTCTTCCATCAGGGAGAAAATACAAAAGTTTGAAAACATGTACCGACAGATTTTAGAGCAGCTTCTTCCCCGCTGTTATCAGACTTATGAACAGACCGCTCACATATTAAAGTTGAATTTTCTCTGCACCTTCTCTGTAGCTGTAACACTGTATTCTGCATTCTGTTCTATTCCGATGTACTTATGTAAGGCATGATCTGTCTGGTTAGTATGCAATACAATAATTTTCATTGTATCTCGGTACACGTGACAATAATAAATCAAACCAAATCAAATCTTTAAGTTTGAGATATGCAGATATTTGAACCCTCAGGGAATTAACCAATATGGGGAGCAGGAAGCAGAAGGTCAGCCATGATCATATTGAATGGCACAGCAGGTCCAATGGGCCAAATGATCTAGAGGTGCTCCTATTTCATTTGTCTTTAACATTCACTTGAATCACACCAAGAAATAGACAGCACCTCACTCTAATACATCATTGAAAAATGTTACCTCCAACGACCCAGCTCCTTCTCTACATTGCACTGGTGCGTCACCCCATGTTATGCACTCAAGTCCTTAAGCTAAGTTAAACACACAATCTTCTGGCTTAGGGATAAGAATAATACCAACTAAACTAAGCTGTTACATGTTCAATGTAGAATAATGTCAAAGGTGTCATTCATTGTTGTTCTCTCTTGATTTCCTGTTCCCTAGCTGAGAAATTTAATCTATCTATAATAATGTCCAATGTAACAACAGAGCCATTTGAGCCTGGGATCTGTTGAATTCAAGTGAATATACCTGTAGATAATATTTCTAAAATTTTACATCTATGTACAATTTTGCTGCCATGTTTTTGTGGTTTATTGGTGATTTTCTTTCCATTATAAATTCCTAGACCTACCCACATTTAAAATTTAATCTGTCAGTGTAAACCTATCACTCTGCAATTACAGACCTTTACCAAGGTGGCACAAGCAGTATCACAATTTTGTGCCTCTAAGGTCCTTGGTCTTTATAGAACTCCTGTTATAGAACTCCTTTATAGAATTCCTCTTTTTAGAACTCCAATAGAATTCCTGTGCTCTAAATCAACTTTGTTTCCCAAATGATTGCCAGTTTTGCTTTTTAACTAGTAGGAACATAAAATCAATCAATATTTGAAAATTAGAAAGTAATGCAGGTAGGGTTAAATTACATGAGGTGAGTTGAGGCTTATGTCGTGTATAAGCACCAGCAAGGACATGTAATGTCCAATGGTCTGTTCTTTGCTGTATGTATTTCTATGCAAGAAAATACTTTAAAATGGGAACTGAAAACTGTCTGTGCACCCTTGTCCAATCTGGCATCACCACTTTTAATGAAGTCCAACAACAGAATTATATACTTCCACAAATTAGAGGGAAGAGGTATTAACAATTTTAGCTACTTAAAATTGGATAAACCCTCAGGCCCAGATGAGATGGATCCCAAGGTCGTGTGGGAAGACTGTAAGAGCCCAGACATTAATTTTCCAAATCCTCTCTGGCTAAAGGAAATGTGCCAGAGGACTGGAGGACAGCTAATGTGGTACCATTATTCCAGGACAGCATAGGAATAAACAAGGGAGCTACAGGCCAATGAGTCTAACTTCAGTAGTCGGGAAACTATTGGAAAAATTCTGAGGGACAGAATTAACCTCTACTTGAAGAAGAAAGGATTAATCAAGGGTTGTCAACATGGCTTTATCATTGGGAGATAACATCGAACAGGTTTGATTGAGATTTTTGAGGAGGTGACTAGATATGTGGATGATGGTAGTGCAGGGAATGTAGTTTAAGTGGATTTCAGTAAGGCTTTTGACAAAGAGTCACATGAGAGACTGGTCAAGAAGGTAAGAACCCATGGGACCCAGTGCAATTTGGAAAATTGGATCTAAAGTTACCTGCGTGGTAGGAGAGAGAGTGTGGTGGTCAAAGGTTGTTTTATTACTAGAATCCTGTCTTCAGTAGCACACACATGACTTGATGATATGTTCTTTACTGCTTGTAGCTTACATTACTGATCCTGATACGAATGTAGGAGGTTTGATCAGTAAATTCACAGATAACACACAAGTTGGAGGTGTGGTAAATAGTGAGGAGGAAAGCTTTAGATGACTGGATGTTATGGACAAGCTGGTTAGATGGACAGAACATTGGCAAACCGAATTAATTGTGAACAGTGTGAGGTGATGCATTGTGGGAAGGCTAACAAGGCAAGGGAGGACATATTGAATGGTAGGATCCTAGGAACTACAGAGGATCAGAAGGATGTTGTTGGGTGTGTCCATAAATCCTTGAAGGCTGCAAGACATTGTGACCTGCAAGGGGTGAGAGTTTAAGAGCATAAATGTTAATCTTTTGCCTTCTTAAAATGTATAACTGCAGGTGAGGGAAGGATAAACATTTAAGGGTTTTGTTTTCTTTCAGGCCTAAGGAAAGTTTAAACAAAAACCGAAAGGACTGCAAATGCTGTAAATCAGAGACAAAATTAGAAATTGCTGGAAAAGCTCAGCAGGTTGGGCAGCATCTGTGGAGAGAAATCAGAGTTAACATTTCGGGTCTAAGGAAGGGTCACTCAATCTGAAACATTAACTCTGATTTCTCTCCACTGATGCTGCCCGACCTGCTGAGCTTTCCCAGCAATTTCTATTTTTGTCTCAAAAGTTTAAATACACTCTCCTGGTGCTATAGCTAATTATTCTGATTAAGAAAACTGCTTAAATCTGGTTCATGTAGCAGGGCAGGCATTATAGCATAAAATCAAGGCCTGAGGTGCTCCCAGTCATAGAGTGTGACTTGCAACTCAGTGCAAATGCTGGGAATTGAGCTAAGTGTGGGTATTTAGGCAAGTGGGGGAGGGAGGCATTGCTGTGTCTTGTTCTGGAGACTTTTGCAAGGGGCAGCTTTGTGGTTGAGGTGCTGCTGGTTAGATGTAAGAGTGGGCCCAGGCTTTGTTGAGGAGGGTGAGCAGCAACAAGGTAAGGGTAAGATAAGAACTTTCTGTTTTCCTAAGTCTCTTGGTTGTTAAAGGGGCAGAGATGGCAGTCAGTTGAGTTGTAAGTTCCTTGTGTCAGATGTGGGAGATCAGGGAGCAGTTAACAGTCCCTGGCGCATATATCTGCAGGATGAGTATCTGATTGCAGCTCCTTTCAGACTGCATGGACATTCATTATTCTTTGCTTGTAGTTGCAGACCATCTAAAAGATGAAAGCCCTCGCAATTCATATGTGCAACTGGTTAGCCTCAGGGAGCTCTAATGGCCCCAAGTGCCATTAATAATCCCTTCCATTCTAGGGAACCATGCGATGGCCCCAAAGCCCAGTGCTTTTGTCACATAGATATCTTTACCCCTACAGTAACTGGTGAATTTATTCCTATGACAGAAGATGATATTGGTCACCAACTCGTGCATCTGTGCGTGGGAAATGCCACATAAATCATTTGTGGAGACCTTGAAACCACTACCCTCTGTCTTTGATCAAGCCAATTTTGTACCCAACTTACCAACTCTCTATGGATCCTGTGTGACTTAATCTTCTGGAATAGCCTCCCATGAGGATCCTTGTCAAGTCCATGTAGACAACATCCACTGCCCTACCCTCGATCTTCATCACTTCCTCAAAAAAAAAATGAAATTTGTGAGACAAGACTTCCCCTGCATAAAGACACGCTGACTATCCCTAGGAACTACATTTTTCTCCAAATGTGAAATTCTGTCCCTCAGAATCTTCTCCAAACATTCTCCACCAATGATGTAAGGCTCTCTGGTGTATAGTTTCCTGGATTATCCCTGCTGCCTTTCTTAAACAAAGGAACAACATTGGCCATTTTCCAGTCTTCTGGGACCTCGCCTGTGGCTAAGGAGGACACAAATATCTCTGTCAAGGCCCCAGCAAACTCGCCCCTTACCTCCTTCAGTATCCTGAGATAGATCTCATCAGACCTCTGGGGACTTATCTACCCTAATGTTTTTCAAGACATCCGACATCACCTCCTCCTTAATATTGACATACCCCAGAAAAATCAATATAGCCCTCCTTAATCTTACCATCATCCATGTTCTTCTCCTTGGTAAATACCAATGAACTTCATCCACTGCTGGCTGCACACAAATTCCCTCCTTTATCCTTGAGTGAACCTACCCCTTTTTCTAGCTCTTGCTCCTAAAATGTATAAAATGCCTTGGGATTATCTTTAATCTTACTTGCCAAGGACATTTCATGGCCCATTCTAGTCCTCAATTTATTGTTTGAGTTCTTTTCTGCTTCATTTATATTCCTCAAGGGCCTTGTCTAATTTCACTTTCCTAAATCTTACATATGCTTCCTTTATCTTTTTGAATAAACTTTCAATATCTCTTATCATCCATAGCTCCTGAATCTTGCCATCCTTCTTTTAACCTCACAGGAACATGCTGGTCCTGAACCCTGATCAATTGGCCTTTAAAAGACTCCCACATGTCTAACGTGGATTTTATCCTCAAACAGCTGCCCCCAAATTAATTTCTCCAGTTACTGTCCAATACTGCTGTAATTAGCCTTCCCCCAACTTAATACATTCACCCAAGGAGCAGTCTTCTCTTTATTCATAACTATCTTAAAACTTGGGAATTATGATCACCATAGATAGATTAGAGTGAGTGGGCAAAGATGTGGCAAATGGAGTACAGTGTGGAAAAATATGTGAAGTCATCTATTTTAGTAGTAAGAATGAAAAAGCATTTTATCTAAATGGTGGGAGGTTGCACAGCTCTAAAATGCAGAGAGATTTGGGTACCCTTGTGCATGAATCATGGGAGGCTAGTATACAGGTACAGCAAGTAATCGGGAAAGTTCATAGAATGTTGTCAGGTTTTATTGTGAGGGGAATTGAATGCAAGGGTGGGGAGGTTATGCTTTAGTTATGCAGGGCATTTGGAGTAGTGTGTACAGTACTGGTCACCATACTTACAGAAGGATGTCAATGTGTTGGAAGCAGTTCAGAGAGGGGTTACTAGACTAATCCCTGGAATGAGCAGATTGGCTTAGAGGTAGATAGATAGGCTAGACCTGTATCCTCTGGGGTTTACATGGGTTAGAGTTGACTTCATTGAAACATACAAAGATCCTGACGGGACTTGACCGGGTGGATGTGGAAAAGATGTTTCCTCTTGTTGGAGAGCATTTTTTTGACAGTTTTTCAGTCTGAAACTGATTGTATTTAGGCCAATTCCTGCACTAGTTCAGGTGGCTTATTTGAAAATTGTTTCTGAGGTTAGCAGGTACTCCATTGAAACCATACAAGTCCCATGTATACGAAAGATAAGACCCTCCATAGATAGAAATGCAACACCTGTACAAAAAGAAAGTCCGACCTTTATGTCTTAAGCTCTTAATACAGAATAAGCAATATCCTACTTGAAAACGGGATGATCATTTAAAAATACGGGGTCACCCATTTAAATGGGAGAGAAGGACATTTTTCTCAGAGTTAAGCATCTTTGGAATTCCCTTCTTCAGATGCAAGCTTTTTAAATTTTTTTTAAAAGACAGAAATAGATTGCTTCTGGGTCATCTTTCATCCCCTTGGTAATCAGGGATATGCAAGAACGTAGAGTTGACGTTAAAATCAGATCAGTCATGACCTTATTGAATGGGGAGCAGGCTCAAAGGGCTGAGTGGCCACCTCTTGTTCCTTGTTCATATGTTCATAATTACTGGAAGTTCAAGATGTATTTAAGCAGGGAGAGAATTCCTCATGAATCTTTCTTTACCTCAAGAGCTTTAGAATTGAGTTTCAGAGAAACTTTCAGAGTTGGGCTATATGAACCAGTTTTAATAAGGTTTGAAACTTCCCTGGAAAATCTGGACAAACTTCAACCACTTGAGGACACACCAATGAAGATGTGGCCACTTATTCTGCAAGCAAAACATGAAGAACAGCTTAAATTGTGACTGCTTGTCATCATGGAAATCAAATCATTACTCACATATACAGTTTCAGCTCTGGGAGATCTATTCCTGGTGGTATCACAACCATACAGACAGTCAATTTAAACCGTAACCTTGGCAAACTGCAACTGCTTCCTCAGCCATACAAATAAAAAAAAAAGGACTTGGGTCCATAGGCATAGAGTGCGTACATAAAGGAATATGCAGATATTACAGGGACATACACACTCCTGAGTATGCCCATCTCCTGCAGTCTGATGTGCAACAAAAACAACCACAACTGTGAACCTTTATACCACTAAATAATTTCAAGATGCCTGAGATGATATATGATAACTAAGTCATTCTGTAGCACACTAGAGAATGTAACAGATTTATTACTGTCTTGTTCTTGTGGTATTAAAATCTTACACCTGAGGCTTGTGCTTTTTGTGAATTGGGTATCTCACTTTGCGTGTGCTGGAGTGTCATGCGTTTTCGAGGAGAACATTGTTTATTCTGTATTAAGAGCTTAAGACATGAAGGCCGGACTTTCTTTTTGTACAGGGGTTGCATTTCTATCTATGGAGGGTCTTAACTTTCATATACATGGGACTCGTATTGTATTGACGGAGTACCTGCTAACCTCAGAAAAAAATTTCAAATAAGCCACCTGAACTAATTCAGGAATTGGCCTAAATACATGCAGCTTCAGACTGAAAAACTGTCAAAAAAAAACGAGAAGACACAATGGTAGCATATCATGTTGGTTAATGATGAGATTCAGAAGTGTGCAATACCTAGGAATAGTAATAATAACACATTAGCCCCATCACACAAACGTAGTATCTTCTTATTGAAGAATTAGCAGATTAAATATTCTGACCCGCTTTCTCAAAGATGACCCATTCTCAGCTGGTATTCTGGAGTGGAAACACTGCTTTCACTTTAAGTTATCAGCCATGGTTCAGTAGGTCCACTCTGAGCACTGAGTCAGACACAAGAAAATTACTGTTTCTGCAATCTTTTTCCTTTTCGAGCTGGAATTGGTCCTGCTGTTTTTCTCTGCACCTTTCCAATGCACGTGCAGAGGGTGATGGTTGAGGGATGTTTCTTTGGAATTCAGCTGAGATAAGTATAAGGTGATGCATTTCAGCAGGACAAACAAGGTAAGGGAATACATCATGAATGGTAGGACCCTGGGAAGCACTGAAAATCAGAGACCTTGGTGTGTATGTACACCAGCCCCTTGAGGTATCGGGACAGGGTGATAAAGAGGTTAAAATGACATATTTTTGCCTTTATTAGCCAAGGTATAGAGTTTAAGAGCACGAAGGTTATAATGGAACTGTATGAGACATTAACTAGACCAAAGTTAGAGTATTGTGTGCAGTTCTGGAATCTGCATTATAGGAAGGATGTGATGGCAATGGAGATGTTGCAGAGGAGATTTACCAGGATGTTGCTTGGGCTTGAGAGTTTTAGTTATGAATAGAAATTGTTTTCCTTGGGGCAGAGGAGATTGAGAAGGGACATGATTGAGATGTAGAAGATTTGAGTAACGTAAATAGGGCAGAGAGAAAGGAACATTTTCCCCTTGATAGAGGGTTCAATGACCAGGAGGTGGAAGTTTAGAGGGGATGTGGGGCAAACCTTTTTTCATCCAGAGGGTGGTGTGGATCTGGAGCTCACTGCTTGTAAGGGTGGCAGAGGCAAAAACACACAAAACATCTAAAGAATTTTAGATGTGCATTTGCAATGCCAAGCCACACATTGATGGAAAATGAGATTAAAATGGTTAGGTGGCTGTTTTGACCAGCACAGACATAATGGGCCAAAGGGCCTTTTTTGTGCTGTAGATCTCTATGACACATATCTTTTTGTATCCAAGTGCTGCCAGGCCAGTGCATTGTAAAGCCCCAGATTATCTCATGCAGATATCAGTCATAGAATCCCTACAGTGTGGAACCAGGCCAGTTGGCCCATCGAGTCCACACCGACCCTCTGAAGAGCATCCCCCACCCTAAGAAAACCTCCAGACCAGGAATGTTTAGTTAGAAATAAATTGGAAATAACAGAAATAAATTAGAAATAATCCAAGTTGAGGAAGGCCATGATCCAAGTTGTGAGTCACAGAAAAAAGTTTCACAGCTCTTAGGATCAGAACGGAAAAGCAGCAGTTAAGTCTACCTACAGAATTGACAGGGAAGGAAAGTTTCCCTGGGTTTTGATTGACTGGGAAGTGATGTTAGGGAGTAGACGGTATTTGGAAGCTTTTAAACTGTTACACATAAATAGCTTAGTTTGTTCTATTTGATTTTTCTGTAATAATCTGGTAAAAGCAAATCTGCAGCCTTGTGTAGTTAATATAGTGGTCTTCCACTGAAACACAAGTTAAAGAAAATAAAATAAAATATGATCTATCGAAGCAGATTTCATTCTAGAATATGATTTGTCCCATAATAACATCAGCTGGGAAATAATACAGCAAACTCTTTATTAACCGGCACCTATGGGACCCGGAGGGTGCTGGCTGATCAAATATTCCTCCTAATCAAGAGATCCACATAGTTTGTGTTTTTACATTGATTAAGTGATAGAAATGTAATGCGGGGTATACACATCACCATTGTACTTTATTTACAGCATAAATCACTTACATAATAATGCAACTTTGCCTTAAATTAAACCAACTTTGACTACT